ATATATATATTATTAAGGAAATGGCTCACACAGTTGTAGAAGTGGGAGAGTCCCAAGTCCTGGTCAGATGAATCAAGATTGGCAGGCAGGCAAGCAGGCAGACAGGCAGGCAGGTCTGGCAGGTAAGCAGACAGGCAACAGGATCCCCAGGATCTGCTGGTAATAAAGCAGGTCACTGGCCCAAGTCCCAAGAACTGGAGTTCAGAGGATGAGCCAGATGCAAAATCCAGACCCAGCAGAGAACCAGCAAGCTTTGCCTGACTATGCCTGAGGAAACATCCTTTCAGTTGATTGGCTGCTCATAGCAGTCTTCATCATAGAGTTAATTACATTATATCAGATTTCATTATGGAGATAACTGCATCTCAATGGCCAAATCACTGGGAATCCTGGCTCAGTCAATTAGACACAAAACCTTAACTATCACAGATAACCTCATTTTTCTTCCTTGGAGTTGCTGGTTGTCTGAACCACCGTCTTTGTTGTTAGCAGCCCAGCACTAAACCCATTATCTCACTAGGGATCCTTGTGTGGTATTTAGTAATGTCCAATAAAGGCTTTAGAGTCGAAATGTTGTACATAGCCACTAGTGGATTGTGAATAAATTTGACTGGATATGATGGTACCTACTAAGTGTAAACTGTTTTATAAAGAACGTAGACACTAACAAAGGGCAAAAAAAAAAAGGTGGCTTGGAAAACCATCATATTTTAACAAATACTCATATTTTTCATAAAAAGTGGGTTCCACAATTGATTCCCTTCTCTTCTGCTAGCCTTCATCATTAATATTAGGCTTAATTATTTAAATTTAATTTATCAGGAGTCAATATTTAATTTAAAATCTAATTCTTATTAGGATTTTAATAAATAATAACATTTAATAACTACCAAGACTTCAGAATATAAAAACATTTAATGTTTAATTTAATTAATTTTTAAATAAAATGAAATGAAAACTATTATGCCATAAAGTACTATACATCTTGACCAAGTTTTAGTTCTAATCCTCATCCTCAATTCTCTTCTTACTGCTAATGTCTATTACATTCTCTCTCTTAAAAAAAAAAAAAAAAAAATTCAATGAAGTTTATGGGAAAGAAGATGGCTTTCCTTAAAGACTAGAAATAAGTGGGAAGAAATAAAAACTGACTTAAGAAAAACAGCAAACAAAATATAATAATCTATATAAGAAGGTAAAGGAGCCCTGGAAACAGTGTATTATGAGTTGGGCTGCTAATTGCAAAGACAGCAGGTCAAATCTACCAGCTGCTCTTCAGAAGAAAGATGAGGCTTTCTACTCCCATAAAGATTTAGAGTCTTGGAACCCCTAAAAAGGTCGATATGAGTTGGAACCAATTTGATGACATACAACCACCACCACAGAAATATATAAAGCTTTCTACAAATCCATCATCAAATTCTATTGCATTGTAGCATTTATTTTATTTTATTATCAATTGACAAGTATTGAAAACATCTAGAATGTAATTTGGGCTTGTGTGACTCAGAAGAGGCTCTAGAACAGGACACACACATTTATATCTCTTTAAAACCACATCAACTCACAGATTTTGGATATGTTAATAGGAAGAACCAATCCCTGGAAAAGGCCATCATGCTTTAGTAAAGTAGAGGATCAGGGAATACAAGGAAGATTCCAAAGGAGATGGTTTGATACAATGGCTGCAACAATGGACGATGGACTCATATATACCAATGATTGTGAGGCTGGTGTAGGACTGGGCAGTGTTTCGTTCTGTTGTATATAAGGTTGCTCTGAGTCAGAGCTGCCTTGACAACCCCTAACAACAACAAAACCATTGTTAAGATCTTCAGTCACTCAGATAACTCAAATAATAAAAGATGTTGTTTCTCACACTGAGGTAGCCATATCTTAGATTGCATAGCAGTCTGGCAGGTATTTTGGGAAGAAACTGAAAAAAAAAAAAAGAGAGAGAGAGAGAGAGAGAGAGAGACAGAGAGAGACATATCTCCCTGCATTGTTAATTTTAACCAAAGGATAAAGCATTATTTTTATATAAAAACCAGTATAAATGTCATAAGGAGAAGGATGATATTTTCTCATGAAATTATAAAGATTAAAAAAACAAAAACACATGAGACTGCAAACAAATGTGGAGCTGGTGATAAGCTGTTTGGGCTATGTCCCAGACTCCTGTTGTTCAGTGTTTTCAAATGGGTTTCAACTCAAAGCAACCCTATGTCCAACAGAACAAAATACTGCCCAGTCCTGTACCATCCTCATAGTGGTACACATTCTTTGGTTTTGTTTGTTAAGTAGAAAAGTATTGTATAAGATTCATATTGTAATGCAGGTGAAAGCAATAACTGCATAGGAATTTTAATATTGTAGACTGGAATGTCTTTTAAAGAATTGAGTTAACTAAAATCAAAAATGACTCTAACAAGTTACCTGGACAGCATGTCAGAAGTAGCTTGCTTCATCTCCTACCCTTAAAGTAACACAAGCAAGGGTCTGTCTGTCTCCTTTAGCAGCGCACACTCATACCTTAACTTTTTTATTTATCTCATGACCTCTGTTTTCTCATAGCTTTTGCCTACTAGTAATCTTAGCATATTCAATGTCATCTCGTTGCCTCTATCTACGTTCTTTCTTTGGTTTATTTTATCTTCTGTTCCATCTTCAAAATGCCCATTCCAATTTATGTATTAAATGTAAATACTCCTCAAATGAGGGAATATGGTTCCTGTAATTACTCATCATTATCCCTGTTCTAAAAAGTATTATGTGCAAACTATCTCATAGCCTGCTGGCTCACCTTTCTGTTAGTTGCCCTAAATTCAGTTCCCACTTCTGGGTAGGCTGGCTATGGTCATGTTAGTGGGGTACCAAATTTTATTGATTAAGAACATGATGGTCTGAGGATCCACCATGATTGGATTTTCTTTGAAGTGTCATGGACATTCCAACTCTTGCCTTCTCCAAAACAGCCCTTTGAAAGATGTCACACACTGATTTCTTTTGAGGATGAACAATTGCTATAACCAGATAAGAATCTAAAGCTTGATATGGAAACCAAAATTCTGGATAAAATTAAGAAATGTAAAGAATGGAACCTTTGTTTAATGGGGTCTCCTATGTAATGCTCACATCTTTCCTATTTATTTTCATTTCTTTATTTAAGTTTTGTATTTCAGTTACATATTCTCGATTTCTAAGGAGCCACCCCTAGATCACTCTTGAATTTTACAAGGACCTTACTTGATTAATTAATTTATTGATTCATTGAAATCCTCTCCAGAATAACTCTAACAGATGTTTTAGCCTTATTGTATAAGAGACCAACATATTTCATGAAAAACATTAAGTTGACTTGACTCATAACGACCCTATGTTGTTGTTGTTGTCAGGTGCCATTAAGTTGGAACCGACTCATAGTGACCCCATGCACAGCAGAATGAAACAATGTCCAATCCTGGGCCAATCTCAGTACTGCTGCCACACTTGATGCCACCTGGCCAATCCATCTCTTTGGGGGTCTTCCTCTTTTTCTCTGACCCTCCAAGAGAGACAAAAGCTTTAAATCTTTATGGAAGCTGACCTGCCACATCCTTCTCCTGTAGAGCAGCTAGTGATTTTGAAATGATGACCTTTTGGTTAGTAGTTATGTACTTAACCACAGTACTAGCAAGACTCCAAATCCCATAAATAAATAAATAGAGCATGTGAAGGCTAGACAATGAATACGGAAGACTAGAGGAGACTTGATGCCTTTGAATTATGGTGTTGGTGAAGAATATTGAACATAATATGGACTTCCAAATCTGTTTTTCTAGAGGTACAGCATTTCTCAAGTTGAGGGACCTGAATAAAAGATTCAAGCTTTGATTTCAAATATTGAAGGATTCCATGGGCAAGTTTTGAATGATGGAGAAAACATCAAAAGAAGATGGATAGAATACAGAATCATTGTAGCAAAAAGAAATGGTCAATGTTCAGTTATTTCAAGAGGTAGCATATGATCAAGAGCCAATGATACTGAAGGAAGAAGTCCAAGGTACACTGAAGACATTGGCAAAGAACAAGGCTTCAAGAGCAAATGGAATGCAAATTGAAATCTTTTAACAGACTGAGGGGGCACTGGAGGAACTCACTCATCTATGCCAAGAAATATGGAAAAAAGCTACCTGGCCAACTCTTTGTGCCCATTCCAAAGAGAGGCAATCTAATGAGATACATATCGTTAATATCCCATGCAAGTAAAATTTTGCTGAAGATAATTAAAAACATGGCTGCAACAGCACGCTGACAGAGAACTGCCAGAGGTGCAAGCTAGATTAAGACGAGGATGTAGAATGAGGGATATCATTGCTATGTCAGATGGATCTTAGCTGAAGGCAGAGAATACCTGAAAGATGTTTATCTATGCTTTATTGACTATGCAAAGGCTTTCAATCACGTGGATCTTGACAAGCTATGGATAACATCTTTAGAAAGAGTATTCTGAAACATTTACTTGTGCTCATGAGGAACCTGTACATAGACCAAGATGCAGTTGTTCGAACAGAACAAAGTAACACTGAATGGTTTAAAATTAGGAAAATTATGCACCAAAATTATATTCTTTCACTATACTTAATTAATGTATATGCAAATAATTCAAGAAGCTGGATTATATGAAGAGGATGTGACATCAGTATTGAAGAAAGGCTCATTAACAACCTGCAATACGCAAACAATGCAACCTTGCTTGCTGAAAGTGAAGAATACTTAAAATACTGATTAAGATCAAAGGCCAGAGCCTTCAGTATGGATTGCACCACAATATAAAGAAAAACTTATGACAACCCTCTCTCAGAAGCATCTCGCATTCACTGTGGATTTGGAGGGCACAATCAAAGTGTGGAATTGTTCAGATCGGGATGCTCTAGCTGCCTACACCATGTCTCAGCACTGTTATTCCATGGAAGCTCTTCTCACAAAGGGTGGTCCATTCCTGATGGTAGGTGATCGTGAAGGTGGGATCTACACATTTACGGTGCCTGATTTAACATGTATTTCTAGTGTTAATAAACTTAGATATACTGTTGAACTTCTGATCTGCTCTCCTAACCAGAAGTGGATCTTTGCATCTGGATATGATGAACATATCTTTCCAATGGTATTTCTCACAGAGTGCTTACTGAAACCATCAAAAGATGACATCCCTCTGTCTCTCTGTATTTCCTCTTCATGGTGCTGGAGCGCCTGCTGGGCCCTAAAGAAGACAAACAGGATAGCAATGATCTTCAGAAGAGACTCTAGCAGAAGGATACGATTTACCACTTTTGACTTTACAACTGAGTGCTTGGTTGGCCAAACAGTCATCCAAGCACATAAGATTACAAGTTTCATGTTACCAATTCATATGGATGCTCCTAATCATTTTGGAATCAATGATGGAAATATGATTGTCTTTGAGAATGGGCCAAGGTTACTCATCTTCATCATCAATGGCCTCCTGCTACAAGAAATTAGAGCCCACCCGTTGAACATCTGTCACTTATGGATGGATCCTGTCCACAGTCTCACAACAACCATGGATAATTCTCTTCATGTATTCATGTGGGAGAAGGAAGGCTGCTATCCATACCTCAGGAAATGTTGTCACCTGGAACAAGTGCCAGGTGATCAGAAACCAAGCTGCTTCCCCCCCAAGGCAATATGTGACAACATGAGCATTGTTTGTGTGGTGACAAAATATTGTAATTCCAGCATTCTGCTGATGCATTCTATTAGAACATGGAAAATAATGGAATGAACCATGAATCATCTTTGTTAATATAGTAAAGAGAATTCTATTTGCAAATACAGAATGATTACTTTTGTTAAAAAAAAAAAAAAATTGTCCCTGTACCACTGGACAAATAAATAACAAAGATAAATGGAGAAGGGATTGAAGTTGTCAAAGACTTCATTTTGTTAGGATCAGACATTAACACTCATGGAAGCAGCAATCAAGAAATCAAAGGGCATTAGGCAAATTTGCTGCACAAGACCTCTTAAAGTGTTCAAGAACAAGTTTGAGGACTAAGGTGTGCCTGACCCTGGTATTTTCAATAACCTCATATGAATGTGAAAGTTGGGCAATGAATAAAGAAGACTGTAGAAGAATTGGTGCAGCTGAGTTATAGTGTTGGAGATTTAGTAAAAATGCCATGGATTGCCAAAAGAACAAACAAGTCTGTGTTGGAAGAAGTATAGCCTTAGACACCAGGATGATCAGATTTCATCTCTCATACTTCAGATATATTATCAGGAGGGACTAGTCCCTGGAGAAGGACATCATGCTTGGTAAAGTGGAGGGTCAGTGAAGAAAAGGAAGCCCCCCCCATAAGATGGATTGGCACAGTGGTAGCAGCAATGGGCTTGAGCATAGCAACGGTAATAAGGTTGGTGCAGGACCACGCAGCGTTCCATTCTGTTGTGCTTGCAGTTGCTATGAGTGATACCGATTCTATGGCACCTAATAGCAACAGCTAGAATGTTCCTTAGAGGTAAGGATGAGAAGACTTCTTTCATGTATTTTGGACATGTTTTCAGAAGGGACCAGTCCCTGTAGAACACCATGCTTGGCAAAGTAGAGAGTCAGCAAAAAAGAGAAGACGGACCTTCAATGAAATGGACTGGCACAGTGGTTACAGCAATGGGATCAGACATAGTAGCAACTGTGAAGATGGTGCAGTGCCGCTCAGTGTGTTTTTTGTTGTCTATAACATCTCTATGAGTTAGAACTTACTAAATAGCATCCAAGAACAACAAATATTCTTAGATAATTCTTTCTCATTTTAAATTTTAAAAAACCTTTCTTATGTCATACCAGGTCTTTTCTCTTACAAAGTAAGCTGTCAATGATACACATGAGTCTTTGCGTTTCTGCATAAATGTTATTTCATTCCTTCATTAATACTTTATATGATGTAGGTTTATCGTATAAATTACCTCGTCTCCTTCCCTGGGCACATTTTAGTTTGACAATGTCTTTTTAAAAATAGATATAATTAAACCTAATAGTAAAGATGTGCTCTGCCAATGCAGAACATGGTGGGTGCGAAACCCCTTTATTTCTTAGGCAGCTGGTTTCTATTAATACAGTCTAATATTGTATTAGCCTTTTGGAAGTCATATCATATTTTTGACTTTCCATGAACTTTAAATCTTTTTCAAATGAACTGCTGTCAGTCCAGAGCTTTTCTACCTTGTATTTAAGTAGTTGATTCTTTGAACTTACATGCAAAACTTAACATTTAACCCTATTAAGTTGAATTTTGCTAATTTCATTCCATCCTTGTATTTTGTCAAGGTCTTTTTCAAGTTTGATTTTTTAAATATGGTTTATTAGTTTCACCTTCCCACTTCCACTCATCGATAAATTTGATGGACAAATTTATATTGGAATTCATCCAATTCACTGACCAAATTGTCTAGGATTTCAGGGCAGAGGGCAATAATTGGCCTATAGTAGCAGTTCTCAAACCTTGTGTTTGTTGTTAAGTGCTGTTGAGTTGATTCTGACTCAGCAACCCTGTATAGGGTTTAAATCTTTTCTAGGAGCAGAAAATCTCATCCTTTTTCCTGCAGAGTGACTGGTGGGCTGGAACTGCTGACCTTGTAGTTTCCAGTCCAGTGCTTATCATATGGAGCTACAATGCTACCTCTCAAACCTTAATGTACAAATTAATCATCTAGGGTGCTTGTTAAACATGCAGGTTTCCACACATCATTTCTAGAATTTTTTATTTAGTAAGTCTGACATGTGTTTCTGGAACATGCATTTTTAACAAGCAACACATGTGTTTCTGGTGATTTTGGTTCCTAGGCCACACCTTTAGAAATGTCTTTAGAAATGTCCTTTAGGTCTTTCTTGTTAAATGTCTTTGAGTCGTTTCTGACTCATTGTTACCCTGTGCAGAATTTCTGAGGAGTGGCTGGTGGCTTTGAACCAACGATCTTGCAGTTAATAGTCCATCACCAACCTGTCTAAATTAACATCAAAGTGTTATTTAATGCTAATAGTCCTGTGATTGTGTGACTCAATGCTGGGCATCTGATTGATACTAAATGAATGACTGAGCAAATGAAAGAATGAAGGGTGGAAGAAATGGTCGTCTACAATCAGCTAATAAACACCTTCATATATATATAGAGCTCTGGTAGCGTAGTGGTTACGAATCGGGCTGCGAACCTTAAGGTCAGCGGTTCGAAACTGCCAGCTGCTCCACGGGAGAAAGATGAGGCTTTCTACTCCCGTAAAGATTTACACCCTTGGAAACCCTGTACAGGGTCGCTATGGGT